AGTTCCGGGCTCTGACCTCCCGAGAAGAGATTGGGTAGCATTAAATAGACTTCGAACGGGACACGGAAGAACAGGACACATGCTCCACAAATGGGGACTAAGGGACTCGCCAGGATGTAATTGCGGACACAGAAAGCAAACTGCTACACACATTACTGATGAATGTACTATTCGTCGATTCCAAGGAGGAATGAAAGAATTACACAAAAAGCCAATTATACAAAGCCACAACAGATGCAGTGCAATGGCTGAACTCCCTGGACATAAAGATTTAATTAAAGACCTATATATGTATTACCTATATAATTTGTTATCAATCAGCTATCTTTTATATTTTATTTATTAATCTATTTTAATACTTGTACCTATTTTATACTATGTGAATTTTATTATGTTAAACCGTGAATGTTATATCTAAGCCATACGAAATAATAATAATAATATATAAATTAATTTTTAAGCATTGTCTAATATTTTCTTCTGTATGAATAAGATAGACCCAACCTTGAAAATGATGCTAAATAGAATTTTAATAAAAATCTCAAACATTGAAAATATTTTATCATAGAATCACAAAGATGAATCTGTTCTACTTGACGAATCGATTAGATCCAAATTTCCAATTATTCACGCTGAAGGATTTTTATTAGTGGAACTTGTAAATTAAACGAAAATGGCTTTGAATGTGCTCTCCACACATATAAAATATTCGATTTCTCACCTCCCGGAAGACACCAGCAATCGAAGAAAACCCGCGCGTCGTGGCGTCCCTACATCGTGATGAAAAATGGCCAGCCAAGCATTCTTCTGCTCGTTCTTTCGTCGTAAAAAATCGCGGAAATTAGTGGACCACTATAATATTTTCTCAGTTTTCCGCCAATTTATGACATTTGTTCTCTCATCTCCCGGAAGACACCGCCAATCGAAGTAAACCGCTGCCCCGGGGTATATAAGTGATGAAGAATTGCCGGCCGAGCATCCGGCTGCTCAGTATGGCGTCGTAAAAATTCGCGGAAATTAGTGGACCACTATAGTTTTGTAGAAAATTTTCTCTCATTCGATTTACATTTTCGAATTTGCCTCGACTAACGCACACACACACGCACACACAAGTAAATAGATTTAACTATAGCTTACAATGTATTATTTACGAAACTAAATAGAGTGAAGTAATGGGAATGCAACAAGTTCATCATTACAAGGCATTCTCATTTTTGTTTTAGCGTCAATTATATCCCAGTGCTTTAAATTCTTTGATAAATGTTTTACCTTATATATTTTCAATAATGATGAATTTATTGGTTGTAAATAGAAATCTTCTTTTTCCTTAAACTGTCGTCCAATTAAAATTACATTTCCCGACAATTTTGAATAAGTAATATTTACTAATTTAACAATTTCAAAATATTTTGTATAAAAATAAGAATCTGCATCAATTTAACTTTTAACTTTTCAATTACCCAATATAAAACTGCTATACTAAAAAAAATCACTGTGTCCCTAAATTTTTAAGAGAAACGACTTTGCCGGCGTGTCGCAACAAAATACACTAATTATGACATTATATAATTTACTCTGAATATGAATTACATTTGTGATTAAATATTGTGCTTCTGTAACAATTATAAATATACATATGTTACATGACACCTATATATATATATAATAATACGAACTCTACCGTATGTACGACTAACTGCTGACCTATACATATTAGAAAACACATAATTGTAAGGCCTATGGCCAACCCACACAATGTATTAGTAAGTTAGTTCACTTTGCACCTTCAACTTTATCACACAATACAATTACTGGACTCCGTAGGACTACGATACAGTCACCTAGTATAATAGAATCATAGTTGATATATTTGTGAGTATTAGTATTTGTAATTGTTTAATATATAATAAAACATAATTATAACTGAAATAGAATCCTAGTAATTTAAATATAGTTAAGATCCTGATAGATATAAATACTGTAGCCAGGGGCAGATATATAGATATCTATAGGATCCACATGATTCTCACTGGATATCTTATATTTAACTGGTCGTTCCCCCGACCACGTTACACTTCATTTACAAAGTATTTTAAATATTCATTACTATCACAGGGTTTATCTGTACCACAATACAATCCTACAGGAAAAACAAGATTTGAATTTGGTCTCATGTATGCCAGAATGGGCCAAAATTGAGTAGAAGTTCTCTTTGAAATAGGAAATCCGTCGATTCCTATAACAAGCTTTATCTCTTTTGGTATACAATTATCATGTAATAATGGTACTCGTCCAATATGCTTTCTAACGCACGTTTGATGGTTTAGTATGCTATCTAGTATCTACCGTAAATATTTAATCTACAGTCAGCTTATGTTGATTTAGTAATTAGTATGATAAATGCAGTATTTCTACTTTGGAACATTTTTTTCATGTGATACTGTGTAGTTATGTCACTTATGTATTCTATAAAATTCTAAAAAGTAGTTTTTTAGTTATTAAAATGTTTATATTAAGGATAATAATAGGATATTATTAAATAGTTATGAAACATGACACAAGAGCCCAATATTGTTGCCTCCCCCACCCAAACAGAAATTTACTGGCTACGTACCTAACATTGATAGATCAATGTTCAAATCATCTAAGCCCCCCAAATCTACATAACCCATTGCCATAGTCCATAGACATATAATCCTTAATACATAAAGTTATATAGCTCAAAAACTATTATCTCAAATTTGAATGTATAAATAAAAAGCTTATAAATTCTCCTTGTATAATTTTATTATCTAATACTATAAAATGAAGAACAGCTGACTGCGACGACAGCTGTCTATTATAGTGTACCAATGGAAAGGAAAACGCCGGCCATAGCGAACCCGTGGCGTAAAAAATAAAGCACTGCTCCGTTTCCCCAGCGCGACCAATCGCGTACCTTCGCAGTGGCGGCGGTCGGTTTTAAAACGTTTTTCGTTATCACCTCTTTTCCTATCATTTCGCCGATTTTCGGAAAATTAGCTGTTTTTACACGATATCTTTATATATATAAATCTTTATACTTAATTCGAAGCCACCGGTGACCGGTGTGCGGTTTATATTCGTGCAATGTCGATCAAAAAATACACTCCCGACCGGACTTTTTTGCCGATTTTTTCCTTTTCTCCCACCGTTTCGTCTATGTTCGCACCCGTTTGTGACCGAATCGAGTCTTTTTGAAACCGTTTATATGCGCTTTTCCCCCAAAATCGGTTCGTTCGCCTCGCAATCGCGTTTGGAAATTACGCCGGCGACCGACCGGCCGTACGCGTATATATACATGTATATACGTGTATAATTTAATTTTTCCTTATGATTTAATAATTATTAACGGAAAACGCTTTTCACACGCCCCGTTAAATATATATATTGGAGATGCGCGTATTACAAGTGAATTATATGCGATTACATCGATGTACATCGAATATATCGGTTTACGTCGCTCCGTAGACGCACGGCTTAAGTGTTGATGTTTTCACTGTCTTTCATAACTCAAACTGTGTCCGAGTAGGTTAGGCGTTAGGTAGGAAACACGTAGGACCCGAGTTCGAATCCGTCGTACGCCGTCCGGACGTTGAAACCGTTAATGCTATAATATGTGGTTTACACGGCCGCCCGAAACCCGACTTTTTTTGCATTTTTTTTCACGTTATTTTTCATATAAATTAAATAATAATATAATAATACAGGAACATATCGTACATTATTATTATTTAAAGTCATTGTCATTTTATATCACACAATAAATAGGTACATATTATAATTGCATATTTTTTTAAATTTCCATGATTGTTATATAAATATAGTTTGTATTTTGTTTCGGTTTGCCTACCTAGGTGGCTAACTTGAAAGTTAATCTTGATTTTGACTTGAGAGTTGAGATGACTGACTTGCTAGACACTCCAACATGGTTTTTGACTTTACACTTTTTACATAAGAAAAGGCACCGGACATGGGAAGGCACATACCACTCTATGTGCAGGTATACTCTATATAGGTGATCCTGGAGATCGTATCCAGCCTATCCATTTACAACGTTTGTGACGGATTGCTAGACACTCAAACTTTTAACATTCCCGCCAAAGCGTCTAGCCTTATCTCCAATCCATATCACTAATCCTTATCACAAATCCTAAACTTTCGTCTTACAACCTTTGCGACTTTTATAATTCATTGTCTCCAAAATCGGTACCCACTCTCAGCTATTCCAACGGGCCCCGAGTTATACTTAGAGCTAGTAAACAGTATATTTTACTAAAAGTTAGTTACTAATAAATTATTATATACCCTAGCTGCGATCTGGTGGACAAGTTCACTGAGCAACAGGTTTTACTAGAGGTTGCATATAGATAGCGTTGGCGGTAACGTACTACACTGTAATACAGTGTATAATATTAATTATTTACTTACCATAAACGAATGACGAATAATATACAATGGAAATTAATAACCATAATATTTTACAATATATTATAATGTTTGATAATTTAATATAAAAAAATTAAAATTATTCAATGAGGTTAAAATAGTGATTTATAATATTTAAACATTTAAACGACCTTAAATCATTGGATGTGGTTTCACAAAAAAAATATTGGCCCATGGGGGGATCGAACCCACGACCTTCGCGTTATTAGCACGACGCTCTAACCAACTGAGCTAATGGGCCAGATTGGAAAAACTGGTCATTTTAAATGCTTTTACCAACATGATTTCTTGAGCTATAGACAAGTGTTTCTTAAACTGTGTTCTGAAATCACTTCAGTGTTCCCCGAAACTCTCTTTAAAATTACAATTTAGAAGTCCTCAAGGCTGGGCATTAACGACTTAAAAAGTTAAAGTTAATTTTATATTAAATTTTAACTTTTTAACTTAACTAGTATAAATATAAAATTATCACTGTAAATATATTGCTTTCAGTAAAATAACTTTAATGTTCAAAAAGTTTATAATTATTAATTATGCATAGGTATTTGGCTAGTTTTGATAGCATGTCAAGTATTATGTATGCTTTCCGAATAGGAGAATCAACAGTGTCAATTATTGTTAGAGAATGTTGCTTATCAATATGGGAAGTCTTGAAAATAAAAGTGAATTCTATTTTATAAAACAATAAACTATAAATATTCCATTAAAAAAAAAAATGTTTTCATATTATTGATTGAACAGTTGCCAGTTTATGCGATTTAGGTTGTCATAATTTTATAGAACAATTTTGAAATTCAACTTTCAACAATTTTCAAATTCAACTTCAGATCAATTTTTATTTTTTTTTAGTTAGACAATAGACATGTATATAACCTTACATCTTTTACAATTTAAATTATATTTATTTTCAATAATCTAGGTTTTATTTACCCCAAGTACACAAGGTTGGATACAAATAGCAAATGAATTTCATAATAATTGGAACATGCCTAATTGTATAGACGCTATGGATGGAGAACATTTTGTACACCAGGTGCTTATCTAAATAATAATATCACTTAAATAATAATAATCTTATATATTTAAAATATACTTATATTTTAAAGGCATTTGCAAATACTGGGTCCGTGTACATCAACTATAAAGGTTCTCATAGTATAGTGCTTCTTGCTGTTTGTGATGCCGATTACAACTATTTATTAGTTGACATTGGTGCAACCGGTCGTAATAGTGATGGAGGTGTATTTAGGCAAAGTACTTTGGGTAAAAAAAATATTAATAATGATATTAAATTTCCAAACCCTACGCCAATCGATACCGCAGTTGTACCAATACCTTACTATTTAGTGGCAGATGAAGCCTTTATGTTACTGCAAAATGTTATGCGACCTTATCCTGGCCGAGCTAAAGGAAATTTACCAGTCGACAAAGCAATTTTTATCTATAGGTATGTAACCCAACTAACTATTTAAAATATAAATAACTATAACTGTAGATTAAGCCGGGATTGCAGATGTATTGAGAACACATTTGGTATTATGGCTGCCAAATGGCGAATCTTTCCTCATCCAATCGTCGCAGGAGAAAAAACAGTAGTTGCTATAGTACAAGCAATAGTTGTACTACACAATTATATTAAAAAATATGAGAAAAACCAAGGTATAAAGCTATAAATAAAAAATTCTTCTTGTAAAATTCCTAATAAGACTAATAATATTAATATAAAATGTGTGTGTGTTAATAGGCATTTTTATGTACTGTCCTCCACCACAAAATTACCATAATATTCCTAGAACTTTTGAAATCAATGGAGCATTGGAGCCATTTGGTCCTGTAGGATCTAACCATTATGGGATTGATGCCAAAGAAGTCAGGGGAAAATTAAAGTTTCATCTTATGAATGAAGGCAATGTGGAATATGATAGAATATAATAAAAATATTATTAACTGTATATAATTGTTATAAACCAAATGAAAATATAACTTTTATTAATGAAAAATGTATTACTAAAATTTAATAACTGAGTTCACTGATGACTGTAGAAATAAATTCAGCTTATTGTAGCCTTCTTTTCGTGTTTGTTGGTAAGTCGGACATCAGACTTCCCAAGTACGAACAGAATGATTCGTCGCCACTAAGCTTTTGAAGTGGTGGTGGGCTCTTCGGTCTTGATGCTTTCAATTCTTCAAGCAACGATTGTTCAACAACATCCGAACAAACTAATGACACATTTTAAACAAAACACTACTAACCAGTACTAACCTTTAGGTGTTCCAGAGTTGTGGCAGACATGTTTGTCATTTTTAGCTATGACAAACATTTTGCACATTACACATATCCGGCCTTAAAATAAATACATATTTTGAATGTGAATTAGTTCATGACATTCGTGTAGTTTTTGTATTATTGTATCGCAGAATACTAACTACAACTTGAGAGTTGACAGAGCTCGAGAATTCATTTTTTTACAAGTTATACTTTTATTTTTTTAAATTTGATATTAAGTTAAGTATTGTTGAAATATACAATTAATATGTAGTACATGTAGTCAGCCTTGACACGTGTGTACAATATAGTAACTAGTTATGTACGAGCATAAGACTCACTCTCTTTACGGATGTAACATGAGTACATGACCTCGGTCGTGCATATATATAGGGCCTTTGATGTATGTAATATTCACTTGCACAGGCGTCGTTGTACAGAGCGTATACGATGTGTGTGTACTGTCACAGTTTAATTGTCCAGTTGTACGTTATTATATATTATACTTATACATAATCATATTGTCGTGTTATTACTTATTATATTAATGCTAACATCATTAGTCTGTCAAGCTTCACTTTCAACAAGTATAAAACAAAATAATAACAATAATAATAACAATAATTAATTTCAGCATTCTATTTTTATTTTTATTTGATAATTGTTTTGGTAACCAGTAACCACATAATTATAAACATTTGACTTGAATAGGATTTGATCCTATTATCTGGTATCTGCAAAATAACGTGGTATTTACTTTTAAACATTGTGGTTAACCACTAGGTAACCACAAGATTCAGCCAATCACAGCGTTGTATTGTTTTTCAGGAAATCACGGTTCACGGATCACGGAGCAGTGTGAATCCACCTTTATTCGACGCGTATAAAATTGTATCGGCGGCGGCGAAGGCGCACGGCGATACGTCACACGACGACGGGTACTTTGCGTATAGGGGACGCACTTTTCTGACGTTAAGTCGAGTAGAAAGAAAACAAAACTTGTGCCAACGGTGTTGTTAATTGGTTATGTCTATTGTCTAACGGCAAAAAAAATATAAAATGGCAATGGCGTTCATACGATATGATACGCGCTATCGACGGCGTGTAAAACAGCTGACGCGGTACCGTGGTGACGGTTACGCGCCTTGCGACACGCAAGCACTTCGATCCGGAGAACTGGTGGCCGCGTGTGGTACCGTCGTTAGTTCCCACACCGTCTTGCTATCGGCGCTGATAATGACGTACCTAACATTTCTCCCCACCTTGGAAGACGGAGGTACCTTCCAACAGATCGGTCTTCTCCCGGGTAAATCGGATGAACTAGCCTTAATTAACACAACGTGACAACATAAAACAAAACAAAAAACTTAAACTAGAAGGATTGGTTGGATGTATAGGAGAGCCTCTTTGGATGAGTTAGCGGACGGATGGGTCAGGAAGTCGTGGTGTCCACCGGAATTTATTCGCCGCAGAATTTAGATTAGAGTCGTTCACTACTGGTGACCAATCGTAGTTCTTTAATAAATTTGATAGATTTGAGTAAGCAACTTGTTTTATGATTTTTGGATTTGGTGGGTTGATTCTGTTGAAGAAAGGGTTGCTTATACCGGTAACTATTGAGTAATGATCAGTTAAAGAAGTATGGGCAACAAACGTTTAAACATTTGTTAATGTATTAGATTTTAAAAGTACATGATCTAAACAGGATCCTCCTATTTCTTTAGTTCTAGTTATACAGTTAACGAGACTAATAAAGCCATATTCATTTATTAAATTGAGATAGTTATTACTATCGTTACCATTACTGATTATATCTATATTAAAGTTACCTTTTATTACCGTTTAGTTACTTTGTGGTTCTGGTTTTGGCTCTATGTAGAATAGTTCGAATTCATCTAAGAAGGAATTAATATTAATTTGCAAAAATCATATGATTATAATTTTAAAAAATTCCCAGCTCCATCTTTACATGTTCTTTCCAAATGTGTCCAGATGTTAAAAAATGTAAAATTTTTAACAGCATGGGAATCTCTTATTGCTACAGCTGGAAATTTTTTGAACATGCTGCAGCGGTATATCGCATGGTCACCTTGGCAACAAGAACGCTGCTTGACCTCGTCAGCGGAAGCCGAACTGGATTTGAGAAATGTTTTCGTGGACGGCAACCCACTTGTTCCTGTAGACAACAACAATCGAGCACAGGATATAGGCTTAACTTTGTGGACGCGAATATCGGTTTTTACTAGACCCTGAGTGTTCTCTAATATTTTGCACCGTTGTTGCACGAATTTAATTAGCATGTCAAACGTAGGAATTATATTTTGTGTGATACTGTTTTCAAAGAGATGACGCGTGGCTATTCTAAGCCACCTGGAATAACTTCACTAAAAAAAAGATTTAATTAGCTTATGCGATGCAAATTGTATCCCAAACTATTATAAGCCATTTTACAATAATTTAAATACTAACGATTGCCAAACTACTGAGGAAGACGATGAATAAGACTTATAATTAATTTAGCATTTAAAATTATTATGATGTTTGATTTTATTTTTATAGTTATGTTTTTATGTTATTATGTTAACTTTTATTAAAATGTTATATTGTTTTAGTTTGTAATTAGTGTAATAAAAGTGCAATTGAATCATGAAACTTGACTGTCAAAGTATTATTTATTTTTAAATATTTTCAAAAAGTTAATTTTTTTTTGTTATTAGAAATTGAGTTAATACCTTTTAAATAAATAAGACATTTTTATTTACTATGAAATTATTCAATAATTGAAATTCTTAATTTGACATTATTATTTATGAAATACAATTATAACAATAATAATAATAATATTATAGTCATCAGTCATACATCATTATTTACTGTTGGAAAAATAATAATAATATTATTATTATTAATAATATTAATATAAATGGTTATTTAATAAAATTATGAATGCAATAAGGCCATATATCTCAAAATATTTATTTTTAATACAAATAAATACTATTTCTGGTAAGTTTAAGTTCTTAAAAAGGACATCATCAAACTCAGAAGAAAATATTGAATAAAATTTGTTATATCTGGCTGAAGATAACTCACTAATTTTGAGAAGCTATTGAATCTTAAAAACGCTCTCCTGAACAATTTACCTTTTTAGATATACGGCTCTCTTGTACTGACAGTACGATGTATTAGATTTAAAATTAACCTATTCCTGTATATAAAAAAAAATTTAAATAATAATATGAATAATCTTATTCCCAAATTGAAATGCATAATTGAACCGATAATAACAAAAGTATAATAATAAAATAATAAAATTCCGTAACCCTTATATAATGTTTACTTCTTAATAATAATAATAATAAAAGAATTTGGTAGGAAAAATGTATAAATAAGTAGGTAAGTTAAAAAAAAATGAATTTGTAATAATTTATTCGGTATCGTCATCGTCGTAATAACGTTTTACGTTATTTTTATGTATGCGATACTCACGATTTCCTTTTTGAATCGTAATATTTTCATTGTTGTGTATTAATATTACCTACCTACCTCAAAAGGTTCTTGCCAATTTAGACTAAGTGCATTTTTCTTATTGTGTTCTTTGATGAGAACTTTGTCACCTACATGTAAATCAATGACATTTAGAGTCCTATCGTAATGAGTTTTGTTCGCCTCTTTTTTTTTTTATTAAGTTATCTCCAACAATTTTGTGTGCTACTTGCATAATCCGCCTAACATTGAATACGTAATTATCTTAATTGTATTGTGGTTCGGGATTTTTATTAAACGATGAATGAATATTCGGTTTCCTTCCGAATACTAATTCGTAAGGCGTAATATCAGTAAAGGTATGTACTGTTGTATTATAATAGAAAGTCGCGTAACATAAGAGTCTATCCCAATTACTGTCTTTGTCTACGAAGCTACGTAAATAAGTTTTTTATGTCTTATGGGAACGTTCCAGAAAAGCGTTGCTTTGTGGATGCCAAGGTGTAGTTTTAGTTTTTTTATGTCTAACAGTTTACACATGCTTTTGAATACGTCGGATAAAAAGTTCGTTCCGCAGTCTGTCAAAATTGACTCGGGTATACGAAACACTCTACGGACGCCTGATTACAATACGTCCGTATTTACAATTTATGCGCCCTGGGTAACAATATTTTTACCCCCCCCCCCCTCCCCCCACCAAAAATTAGATCCACTTTTTTGATTTTTCTTAATACATTTTTAGTTATAGTTCTTTATTCAGCTTTAATTTGTAATTTGCAATTTGAAACATTTTCACTTTTATCTTCAGTTATTGTAGTTAACGCACTTAAAACCGAACACCAATTTTTGTTTAGAGACTTACACGCATCGTCTCTTGCTGACCACCGAGTTTCGGAAAGACTTTTGAGTGATACATTTAAAATTTTCCAACGGTGTGTAGAAATAGAGAAAAATGTATAAAGGTTTTGTAGGAGTCTAAAAAATTCATTTGCATCATGGCAGCAACTTGCAGCATTTTTTCCAACAAAATTGAGCAAATGTGCTGAGCATGGTACAAAATCAGCAAGTGAATTAATTTATTTAATTCTTGCCTGTAAACTAGTGTAGGCACCTGACATATTAGATGCATTATCATAAGACTGGCCTCTTAGGTAATTTGTGTTTAAATTGTACTTTTTGA